TGTCGCTTTAATGGCCCTTCGCTCATTTTCAACTTCTATTCAATATTCATACTGCCGTACTCTAACGGAACTATCCACCTACCCTCTTCTAAAGATCATTCTCTAGCTAATAAATCATCACACTAAAGCTTCATGTTAGCATTTCCAACCAAGTGCTCAACTTTTTGGCTCAGCTCTGGTACTCTCTTCGGACCCAAGCTAATCGATTAACCCCTCGAAACATAGGAAAAACCAATAACCCCTCATTTTATCTGTCAAACTTTCAAAGCGAATCAAAACAAACATTGCGTAGTACTAGAATTTTGACTAGAATGGGGTTTGTTAATCGATTTGCTTGGAACCAATAGGCTAGTCAAGTAGTGAGCCGATTTAAAATCGGTAGTTTCGTATTCATTGTTGCTTATACCCCGTTCACATTACAGTCTATATCACGTAATATAGGCTGTCTTGCAATGAGCACACATACATAGGATTTGCAGTGCAAACTAGATGTATGACTGTATGAGTGCTCATTGCAAGACACCGTATATCACGTGATATACGCTGTAATGTAAACGGGGTATTATAATGCTGGCAAAGTTGCCTGGAAAAAGTTAAACGTCAAAATTTGCTTATCTTTCGATAGTTTTGTTGTGCGATCATTGCAACGGTGTTTTACTCGAGCGTTGGATCAACAAATTGCGTTACATCCATGATAAGGGGAATTCATCTATTGGAAGCAGACACATCAGAAAGTGTATCTACGTAACTTGGAACAGGTGGAAGCTCAATCGTTCCCGAAAAGTTTTCCTTCGTCCGGTTGATGCGATGGAGTTTATGTGCGCTTGCTTGGAATTTATGGAACAGTTAACTCTTTCGCCGAATGAAATCGTTGCTATGGTTCGGAAGGCAGCCAATTTCCAGCTGACGGACAGCTTCTAAAGTTTCCTGTCAGCAGTTTGCCGCAGTCCCAGTCCCATGCTATTCGAATCATCATCGCAACGTTATTTCTGGAGAAGGCTGCCATTGACAATATGCTGTCAATTTTAAGCATCTAATTTGACGACTTCCTGTGCTTCGTAAACCGTATTCACTTCGCTCCTATCAGTCGGTTGCTCTGTTGTTATTGACTGATTTTGTCGGAGTTGTGGAGCCTCCCAGAAAGTTCTGGAATTGGATTCCTTTTCTCTTCCGTCGACATCAGTGCTAGAATATTACTAGCCCCACTCGATTATGTTTTTCTCTGTATCTAGGCGGATCTATCTCTTTAGTTTTATTTGAAAACAGTGGGGGGTTTTGTGATACACTTTATTCACACCAAAACGCATCAATATATGCTTTTTGATCCCGTTTGAATCCGAACGGTTTTATAATTGCTTTTATAAAGAAAAACACCTTTATAAAGCATTTTTTCTTGACATTAAAACAAATACCGATCCATTTACTGAACAGTTTTATAAAGGGATAGAGTGCTGCAATAAATTCATTTTTAAAACTAGAAACTTTCTGATTTTTTCGTAAGGGAGTTTAAAAGGTTTTTAAAACAGCATAAAGCTGAACTACTGATAAAGAAGGTTTTGCACTTTTAAATGCTGTACTTAAACTAAAAACATTGCTTATTGCCGTTATAATACCGCAATAAATCAGAGTGAAAGCCAAAAAGCTGTTAAATTGTTACTTGGGATAGTAGCTTTGTAGTATTTCATAAAACTTAAAATGTTACTTGGGATCTGCTTCACAAAAATTTCACAATGAGTTTCGCTTAAGGCCACAGATTTTCTTCAAAATTCAGGAAATTTATCTAAAATCTCCAAGACTTTCCTGGAGTGCATCGAACATCAAACTATCTAGGCTCTCTTGTCAGGAGTTCACTGAACTTCTCAGACAAATTAGATAGATAATCAGCGAGAAAATGCAAAGAAGGACCTGTGAAGGTTGAAGAACTCCTGACCAGTTTAACGAACTATGGATGATCTCAGTGAACTTCGTGACCATAGAAATGGTCAATTCGTAAAAACAGAATCTTAAACAACTTCTTGTGATGCTGAATGAATGAATTTGGATTTAACCCCCCAAGATGTACTCTCTGGTAGGTGGTTTATTCGTATCGAAGCTCCTAATGCACATCGATTTTTCAATCTGCGCACCCTGCTGGCCGCGGACTTGTTCTTCGGGAGATCCTTCCGTAAAAGTTGTCAGTTCGTTAAAATGATCCTATATCCCACATCCATAAATGATGTAGCATATTTACGATCAATTAAGACCACCTCCCCCCCCCCCCCCCTCGTAGTGTATTTTCCAATACATAATGCATGGCCGGTCCCAACTTCTGCAGACCCCCGTGTCCCTAAAATGCTACGTTATTTATGGATCGTCTTCTGACATTAATCATAATTTCACATCAAACATCGAAAGAATAAAACCACAACATAATATTTCTCAATATTAACTATCATCCACATAAACCCAACTTAAAACCATCAAGGTTTTCAAAATCTTTTGCGTATCATGTTTTATCAACGTTTTATTTCAGGAGCGATTTATGCGGTTGTAAATACTGGAATGCGCAAAAATTATTTCAGTCAAAATTCAAATCACACTTCTTATTTTTCTTTTGGTAGTTCCATTCATATATTTAAAGGAAAAACAATGTTCGTTTATTCTTTTGGTTAGTCAAATTCGAACTGCCGTGCCTTCTGCTAAACCCCTTCCATTAAATTTTGCACAGTGGTCTTATCGAGCTTATTCGCTTTTTTTTTTAGATTCCGTTCTTTAGGTACTACAGCCACGTTGTTCGCATCGTACCACTCGATTGCCTTTTTCCCATAGTGGCAGCTCGCCAAGTCCAGCCAAAACAGCACAGGTCTATTATGTTGCTTTAGGAATGGTAGCAGCCGCTTTTCCACGCACTTCTGGACGTAGATCTATTGATTGATGGTTCCCATAGTAATGGAAATGCCGCTTTTTAGACCACACGTGCATATGGCCTGCCAGACAAAATATTTTTTCGGGAACTTCGATAGTTTGATGGTTTTGAAAATTTCAGCCACCTTCCCTTTTCCTGATGCGGTATAAAACTCCTGTCCCAGAAGTTGCTTGAGATCCGGCTACACATAAGCTTCGTCGTCCATGACGACACAGTCGAACTTTGTGAGCAGATTCGTATACAGCTTTCGGGACCGCTGCTTTGCCGACGTGTTTTGTTTTGTAATCTCGGTTAGCCACCTTCACCTTCTTAATCGTCGACAACCCGGCCCGTTTCTTGGCCCGCTGCACACTTGTATGGGAGACATTGACCTTGCCAGCAACATCCCGGATGGAGAGGTTAGGATTCTGCTTATATTTCACCGCCACCTTCTTCGTCGTCATTGCCACGTCCGAACTACGATTGCCGCCGCTTCCAGACTTCGACAGACGCTCCCCGAAAACTTTTAAAACGTTTGTCACTGTCGATTTGGCCACATCCAGCAATTTTGCCAACTTGGCGTGTGAGAACGTCGGATTCTCTTGCTGCGCGAGCAAAATTTTGACACGCTGTTCCTCTTGCTTGGACGTCATTTTGAAAACGGCGAAAACTCATCATAGCAACCATTGTATATACACTCATGCATTTTAAACAGAAACACACCAATTTGAGGTTGACCAATTTTTGCGCGTTCCAGACTTTAATATAATTTTAGGGTAGTCATCAAAAGGCTGTTAAAACTTTCAAACCACGAGAAGGTTTTATGCTTATTTTTTAACAACCACGTGTAGAGTGTCATAAAACTGATGTAAAACCTAAGCTCCTTACCTAAGAACTACCTTAGCATATCAAGTTTTAATGATTGCATTAAAACTGGGCCAATTGGCTCTGACATGGCTGTATAGCGGTTTGCAGGAGGTTGTTCAAGCAATGTGGTCGTCTGTGGAAGTTTTATAATTTGGTTATACCAACTGCTTTAAAACTTCAATTAAACAAAACTTGTTGCTTGGGTAGGACTAGCATGTGCACCAGGGTGGTTCAAAATATCGATTGTTCTCTCAATATTTGAGTTTATTTGGATGTGAATTCATTGGCCCTTTGAAGTTTAAATGGAAATTACAAAACCTGGAAAAACATGAGGTAAATTTACTCATCACTTAGTTCCTGCACTTTTTACAATTTATGAGTAAACTGAACTCAAATTTTGGTCGATCTCATAGGCCGTGTACATTTCATCTATCATTCCAGTTAGGATTAAGAAATGACGACTGTTTCTTTCTCGGATTGAAACGATCAAATTCTAGGGATAAAAAACAACATTCGTATTTTGTGACGAATTTCATCCACGCTTAACTTAGATTTTCCAAAAGCGTTTCACAAACAGCCTAGAGATTCACGTCGCCTTACCTTGAATTGTTTTCATCAATTTCCATTTCTACGAGACGACACCTGCAAATAGCACCATCGTGATCGAGGTGTTGGAGCATCAAATTTTCCTGCAAACTGAGAGAATTCCACTCGAACGACCTCAAGCACACACACACACACACTCACACTCAACCACCCACCCACCCATTCACTCATTCCAAATTTCCCACGGAGGCCGCCCTCACCTTGAAACATCTCTTCGTCGCACCGCTTGTGGTGGTCGCCGGATCGAGCGATTCCTAAATGGAGGGCAAATATATAAAATACGTATTAAATAAATAACCGTTTGGAACGCCAGCCGTGTGTCGTCGGCGTCGTCGTGACCAAGTCTCGCTTGCGCACGTCGCTATCCCACACTCTGGGGCGGTTGTCGGTTGTTGGAACCTGGCCAAAATCTGGTCGATTCCACGGCATCTGTATGTGTGGCGGTTGCAAAAAGGGCGTGTGGGCGTCCGAAGTTTGGTCTGTGTGTGTGAATTTCATAAACCTTTAATTTTTTTTTGCATAAACTAAACCAATCTGTATTGCTGCTGTTCCCCTACCCTGCCCACAGAAGTAGGAAAGTATAGGAAAATAGCCAGCTGCTGCTGCAGCAGCAGGTCGAACCGAGGGAAAATCGCCAAGATCCGGTCAGTATTGCGATAGAATCCGTTTGTGTCTGGCCAGCCAGTAGAGTGGGTACCAGGCTACATAGTAGTTGTACGACGGGATCAGCGCGATTCAGAACAGAAACTAGAAGAAACAGCCGGAGTGCAGATCAGTCGAGTGCGCGCGCGGGTGAGATAAAGTGAATTGATTCCAAAGTTTCCATTTTTTTTTGCGAAAGTGATTTTTGGAACGTTGAGACAGGTGAAACGGGAAGGAATTTCAGCACACCCAAACGGGATCTAATCTAACGGTAAGTGGGGAGGAATTTTTGGAGATAAGCCAAAGATCGAGAACAACGCAGTGCAGTGCACGCAAGTGATGAAACGAAGTGGCCTTGAGGTGGTGGAAGAATTCTCGAAGAAGAGTCGTCAGTGTCTATTTTTGGAACTCATCCAGGGGGAAAACTCCGCTCGGTCAGGTTCAAGTTTGGTGCTCAACTCTTTGGGCAGCCAGTTGTGACTTTCTGTCCAGAAAATGCAATTGTTTGAACATTTTCAACCCTCATAAACGGGTCGTTCGGTGCTCGGTGAATAGTTTTCTAAAATTAGAACTTTGTGAGAAATTGCTCAACACACGATACAACAGTTTTCATCAGGCGGTGACTGCATTGCACTCAAGAGGTGCAATAATTGTGATTTATGGGTTGGTGGATTTCTTCAGCGAATAGGTGCGCGTCATTGATTTAATTATAAACATTTCAACGGTGAACCGACACTGAAGAAATAAACCACTTGATATTCATATGATCAGTTCTGTGAAGCTTGAATCAAGCGATCAAAAATTACTTAAATTATTCATCAAAAAAGGGTAATGAGAAGGATTTTATTGATCAATTGCTATGCATATCAAGTGGTAAAGATCCGGGGTAAAATCATATAGATTGCTGTAGCTTTGTTCGTTCAGTGTAAACTTTTGTTAACGGGATATAACGGATGGAGTTGTTCACAATCCCCAACCTAGCGATACATGGGAGGACGTGAAATTGCGAACTTGGCAGCAAAGGAATCCACCTTGTCACCAGCTGAGCTACGATTTCTTCCGCAATGATTGATATAACGAGAAGTACAGTTGATTAAGCTGTCTCTGTCGTGGCACGTAGAAACAGAATTGCTAAGTTTCTGCCAGAACAACCAGTCGTATAACTCTAATGAGATCGGAATTCATCGCATTTTTGGGTTTACTTGTATAAATTGAAAAAAGACAAATATCAACTTATATACAATTTATCATTTTCATATCGTTCAATTTCAGGGCTGGTAGTGGGTATGTAAAATAATAGTAGCGACTTTAGTGACTTGACCTATTTGAGTGATGTCGGACATAGAATGAAAATATTATTTGCATAAGCCTTATTCGGTAATCAAATATTAATTTTATTGTTACTTTATTAGGTTATCAAATAATGATTTTGATAGGAACGAAAAATTAGGGCTGATATAGCGTTGATAGGATGAAGTACAAGTTTTTTAAAAAGTTAATTTTTTTAATCATTTTAAAAATATCCTTCTCCCTCTTCCCATCCGTACAATTTTTATCCCCTAACCTTGAGAAGACCGCGATTATTCGGTTCAATTCCATTAACTTTAGATTTAATTATGTATAATGCAAATGATAACTTGGCTCTTGAAAATTTATTCGATTGAGCCTTCTTTTTTTTTTGTTATTTAATTTATTTGTACAGGCTCAATCGAATACACTTTACAGAGCCAAATTATCTTTTGCATTATACATTATTAACAACCGGTGGCAACTAACGATTTTAAATTGGCTCACTACTTGACTAGCCTATTGGTCCCAAGCAAATCGATTACCGTACCCCATTCTAGTCGAAATGCTAGTACTACACAATGTTTGTTTTGTTTCGCTATGAAAGTTTGACAGATAAAATGAGTGGTTCGTCGATTTTCCTATGTCTCGAGGGGTGCATCGATTAGCTTGGGACTGAAGATAGTACCAAAGCTGAGCCAAAAAGTTGAGCACGTTTCTTCGGGACCTTCTGGCCTTAGAGTTACCTCTATGTTATTAATGTCTTAAATTAAAGGAATTGAACCGATTACTCGCGGTCTTCTCGAGGTTAGTGGAGATTTACAGTTTCATGGATGGGGAGAGGGAGAAGGAGGTTTGAAATTTGATTTACGATACAAATGTTTCATTATTCCTAAAACGTGAACTTATTCCTATTCAACTTGATATCAGCACTGTTATTACACTATTATTACAAGACAAACACTAAAAACACACACACGCAACCAAAATACAAACTAAACACAAGGTTAATCAAACTTACAATATAAGGTTAATATTCTTCAAGAAAACATATATGAGTTTCATAAACTCCAGATTGCGTCCAGCCAAAATATCCCGAACTGGAACATTAGGTTGTCTACTTCGAGCCCGAAGGGAATCACTTATATCTACTCATAAAATTAAAAATTATTGACAACTTGGTAAGTGGAAATGTTTATGCGATTTTATTTATTTCTGTCAAAATATTAATAACTGTTCGCAGACTCAAAATTCTGAAAACTAGAAAAAGGTTCCATATAATCATAAATAAATTAATGTAAATTAATCAAATTACCGTCCATTTGTAGTGTTCAATGTTTGTAGCAAGCTACTGGGAAATTTTGAATTTTTTAGGTGTTCTTCCACCACGCTTGGTGGCGCCATATTGACTTGCGTACCTGAAAACCACGTAATTCTCGTTTCGCGAAAATATTGAAGTCCCAAACACACAAACACAAATACACTAAATCTGTTTACGTGAATATACGGTCGATTTCACCAACATTTTTAGTGGACATGACGTGTAATGCAGGTCAAAGTTACTAACGTCACTTAAAATTTGAGATTTTCCAAATACAGATCAGTTACGTGATATTTCACGCAAATCGGACGTGAGGATTTTTTAGAGTGTACTTAGGTGGAGGGGAACTCCAATAAGCTTACCAAGCATCGGAAAGGTTCCTTGAAAGTTGCATGAACAGCGCCGAAACGATAACCCAAAATCCAAGCGACCGGCTTGTGTTGCCTACCAATGAGATGTCAGTACTTTTCTATTCAAATGACCAAACTTCCTGCTTTCCTTGGCCATCATACTGCATTGTATCACATAACATATGTGGAACTCGAACATCAAAAATCGACCCCATTTCAGTCATTTCAAGTGGTATAGTAGGCCACCGATCTGCCAAATTTATTATACCAGCTGTAAAATGAGAAAGAGGATCAAGGGGGTAGCCGATTCTATTTAAACAATTATAACCTGGTTTGTAATTATAAATTTTCTTAGCACTTCTGAACTTATGTCTTTATTTTTCCTTAACTATTTATGGACTTTATTTTTAACTATATAACTAGCTTTAACAAACTAATCACCTTGCTTCACAGAAAAAAAAAATAGATTAACGTTTTGCATAACAAAGTAAGGCCTGTACTCGAAAAAAATGCACCAGACAAAAGTGTTCGCCAAAAATTTATTTAAAGTCGGATTTTCTTGAAACTTTCAGGGAATGAACTAATACATATGGATTATGTTTCGGCATAATTTCTTTATTCAATTTCCTTTCCATCGCTGAAAGCCCGCACCTTTCCCTTAAGACCCCTCATTACATTTTGTGCAATGGTGGAGCCGACCTGTTTGGTCACTTTCATCCATTCTTTCTTCAACTCCAGCTCGTTTTTAAACACCTTGGACGATTTTCGAACTTTTACCTTCATTTTGGCCCAAAATCTTTCCACCGGACAAATCTCTGGTGAATTTGGGGGGTTGGAGGATTTTGGTAAAAAACAACGTTATTGTCTCTGTACCAATCCAACGTCGATCGCGCGTAATGACATGATGCCAGGTCCAGCCAAAATAATGTCTCGTCTCCGTGGGACCGCAGGAAGGGCAACAGATGCTGCTGGAGGCACTCGGTGTGGTAAATTTCGCTGTTGATGGTACCCATTAGACTGATGCAAAATTTGACTTTTTCGCTCCACAGTGCTTAAATGGTTTCAAATTGGGTCCTGATTAGCCTCCCAAAGTTACAACTCATTTGGTTGGAAACAGACTTCGCACAAGCCATTTGAAGTTTGCATGTAAATTACTATGGGAAATCTCAGCTTTTTGTTCATTGCCTTCTAGTCTTTTTCCATATTGAGCTGCGAAACAGTTCGATAGCCATTCTTATAGAAAATTTTCTCAGCTACAACTTTGCTCAAAATCGTTTCTATGTAAAACGAGACAGGAAAAAGATATTAATTATTTAAGAGATTGGTAAACTTATGACATGATCAAGCAGCTGCTCTGTAGGCAACACTGTATTTTGCAATGTGACATAGTAGCCATGATTTTTGTGTCCTATTCAACGCCTCAGAAACACCAATGTTGCCTGCTGAGTAGTTGATTGAGCATGATCATAAGACATCAGTGCATTAAACCATTGATAACTTTCGATCCTTGCATTTAATCAAAAAGTGATCTTCAGCAAAGTTGTAGCTTAGAAAATTTCCTACAAGTACAATTGAAAGTTTTTGAAGCAGACCGATATGGTGAATTATTAGATAGACATGAACAAAAATCTTGGTTTTACCATAGTAATTCCCATACAAACTTTAAATGTTTTGTGCGATCTCAGTTTCTCACCAAATGGGTTCAAATTTTGAGAGGTTCGTCAGGATCCGGTTTGGAATCGTTTAAGTATTGTGGAGCGAAAATTTCAAATTTTGCATCACTCTAGTGCCCATTGTGATGTACGGTTTACTCAGTTTACCGCATTGACATATGGCCTGCCAGAGCAAGTATTTTTTGGCGAATTTGTCCACTTTCTTCTTCCTTATGTCTTCCGAAACATCAAACCGTGATTTGGCAACGTAGAACTCCAGCCCCGGTATCTGCTTTGCGTCTGCCTTGATGTAGGTTTCGTCATCCATAACCACACACATCGGTTTCGTTAACCACTCTCGATACAGCTTCCTTGCGCGGGATTTGGCCGCCGTGTTTTGTTGATCACGCCGGTTCGGTGCCTTCCGGACCTTGAATACACGAAGCCCAGCTCGTTTCATGGTTTGCTGAGCGAACCAAGCGGAACACTTTGCCTTCAGAGCCGCGTCGTGAATCGAAAGGTTCGGATTACGCTTGAAATAATCCAACACCTTTCGGGCCTTCACAGGGTCAGCTGTCTTCGATTTTCTTCCACTTCCAGCCCGCCGCTCGGTCGTCTGGGACTCCTTAAACAACGGCGCGCAAAATTCTCCGGCGATTTT